ACACCTTTCCCACCTTGAGAAGGTCACTCTTACTAGTTTAGACCTTTCCCACCTTAGGAAGGGTCACTCTCACTAGTTTAGACCTTTTTCACCTTGGGAACAGTCACTCTTACTAGTTTAGACCTTTCCCACCTTGGGAAGGGTCACTCTTACTAGTTTAGACCTTTCCCACCTTAGGAAGGGTCACTCTTACTAGTTTAGACCTTTCTCACCTTTGGAAGAGTAACTCTTACCAGTCTAGATCTTTCTCACATGCGAAAGAGTAATTCTTACTAGTTTAGACCTTTCCCACCTTGGGAAGAGTGACTCTTACTAGTTTAGACCTTTCTCACATTGGGAAGAGTAACTCTTACTAGTTTAGACCTTATCCACATTGGGAAGAGTCACTGTTACTAGTTTAGACCTTTCCCACATTGGGAAGAGTCACTGTTACTAGTTTAGACATTTCCCACCTTGGGAAGAGTAACTCTTACTAGTTTAGACCTTTCCCACCTTAGGAAGGGTCACTCTCACTAGTTTAGACCTTTTTCACCTTGGGAACAGTCACTCTTACTAGTTTAGACCTTTCCCACCTTGGGAAGGGTCACTCTTACTAGTTTAGACCTTTCCCACCTTAGGAAGGGTCACTCTTACTAGTTTAGACCTTTCCCACCTTGGGAAGGGTCACTCTTACTAGTTTAGACCTTTCCCACATTGGGAAGAGTCACTGTTACTAGTTTAGACCTTTCCCACATTAGGAAGAGTCACTGTTACTAGTTTAGACCTTTTTCACCTTGGGAAGGGTCATTCTTACTAGTTTAGACCTTTCCCACCTTAGGAAGAGTCATTCTTACTAGTTTAGACCTTTCCCACATTGGGAAGAGTAACTCTTACTAGTTTAGACCTTTCTCACATTGGGAAGATTCACTCTTACTAGTTTAGACCTTTTTCACCTTGGGAAGGGTCACTCTTACTAGTTTAGACCTTTCTCACCTTGGGAAGGGTCACTCTTACTAGTTTAGACCTTTCCCACCTTGGGAACAGTCACTCTTACTAGTTTAGACTTTTCCCACCTTGGGAAGGTTCACTCTTACTAGTTTAGACCTTTCCCACCTTAGGAAGGGTCACTCTTACTAGTTTAGACCTTTCTCACCTTGGGAAGATTCACTCTTACTAGTTTAGACCTTTTTCACCTTGGGAAGGTTCACTCTTACTAGTTTAGACCTTTTTCACCTTGGCAATGGTCACTCTTACTAGTTTAGACCTTTCCCACCTTGGGAAGAGTAACTCTTACTAGTTTAGACCTTTGTCACCTCGGAAAGAGTCACTCTTACTCGTCTAGAACTTCCTATCCTATACACAGTAGTAAAGCCAATAAAAGGACTGTAAACTTTTGTTTCACAGAACAGTTAAATCTACTAATTAAGTAGACGATCGTCACACATATAGCATATACTAATTACAGCCATGCACTTAAACATACCTTTTTAAAGTGAATAGAGTTCCAGTTAATTTTTTACATCTCTTCAAACACTGATCCAATCTGACTGGTTCTTCTTTGATGAATCTGATAAATAATGGAAAAGAAATTAATAATATTACATGTAAATGCATTGCAAAGATTTGTGATATTATAAACCCTTCTTTTCATAGCAATACCATTTTACGCCACAAATCCAAACATTTGGAATAAACTTTATAGATATTTATGGTTTATAATATCGCCAAATTTAAATATATATTCAAGGAATGGCATGGATACTAGATTGCACACTATCTAGCAGTCAGGTAGCAGTGTTCTCCCCAAAGCGTTTTAGCGTAGCGGGGCCGCTACTCCATTATTTATGCCGCTACTCTGAGAGATTGCCCGCTACTCTGTGGCATTTCCTGTTACTCTTTCTTTTAGCTTGTTAATACACGTGCGAATCTGTTAGTCAGCGTCAGCAGCGTCCGGTACTGTGAGCCAAATCAGGTGTGAATGGAAACATGTCAGTGATTACGCAAAGACAATGGACTAATACAGCTTCGTACTTCGACAATAAACACTTTCGCCCTATTTAATTGGGGTAATAGCGAGTATTTTCTCAGTAGCATATTTGGCTGGAAGAAGCAACGATGTCAAACAGCAGAAATATTACGTTGTGGTTCCGCGTAGAACGCCCTGCTGGGCCCCTGGTTGCGAGCGATAAACCCACCAGCAACGCAGTCACCGGTACCCCTGTCGGCAGTGGTACTAAACGTGTCCAAGATGATGTTACAACGAAAAGTGCAAAAAAATAAACTCTAGATTTGATGCACAATGGACAACAAAATATACGTGGCTGAGAGAAACATCCGATGGCAAAGGTAAAAAAAGTATTTATTTGTAGCGTTTTACTTGGAAGCGAGTTTTGACCTAGTTTAGTAAATTTTTGTATGGCTTCATTTTTTGCCGATCGTCGAAACATTTTTTTGGAAGCGACCTTCTTTCTGGAAGTTCAAAAATTGTTGGCTACGATTTATCAAAGTAACTAATACTAGTATTGTGTTTTGAAATAGTTGGGTAAAGTTTATCGTGGCAATTTTTAAG